AGATAGATAGATAGATAGATAGATAGATAGATAGATAGATAGATAGATAGATAGATAGATAGACAGACAGACAGACAGACAGACAGACAGACAGACAGACAGACAGACAGATGGTGTTTACTATTATCCACAGTTTTCAGTATCCACAGTGGAGTTTAGAACTAACCCCCAGAGGATATGGGGGTCTTACTGTATGTATCAATTTGTAGGGTCCACCAAGAATGCTCAGTGCATATCAGGAAGTGGACTGTAATCCATGAAAACTGCTATGGGGGGAAACAAATCTCTTAATTTGTTGTAGTCCCTGAATTTCATGGGTGGGCCTTCTCTCCCCCGAATTCTCGTAAGAACCCATCTGAAGAGACACGGCTTCTGCATGAGACGTTCTGAGTAACTTGCGGCTTGAATCCAATGTGAGCAGGCGGCAGAAAGCGTCAGAAACTGCTTCTTCTATATAGTATTTTAAAACTCTTATCGTTGTACAGTTTTAGTCCATGTGAGCCACCTTGGGCCCCCTATGGAGAGAAAGACAGCTCATAAAGAATATAATTTGGCACAGTGGTTAATCTGCAGTCAGGACTCTGATCACGACCTGAGTTTGTTCCCAATGGGCTCAGGTAGAGGGCTCAAGGCTGACTCGGCCTTCTGCTTCCATGACTCAGCGCTATGGGTTGGTCTATGAGCAGCACACTTTGGAGGGATCTCCTTGATTCCTACTCCTCTAAGGCTCCCTCAGTCTTCTTCTACCCAGCCTAGGAAGCCTGCAAAGCTACTCTGTACTCTGCCTCCGGGGTTGAGGGGAGGAGGGTTTTTGTGATCCATCACTGTGAAACAGCCCCTTACCAGCTGCTTCAGCAAAAAGGGCAGGATGTCTTCCAGGGCCTGGAACCCGATGGTGGAGTGGAGCTGCTCAAAAGTTTTCGCCGCCGCTTCCCGGACTTCTTCCAGAGGGTCACACAGCGCTTTCCTCACCGTTGGGACCAGAGACTCGGAGAAGCACAACACCTAGAAACGAGAGGCAGAGGTGACTGCAACAGCTTTATATTAAAAAGGGGATGCCAAACCCCCAAGGAACCAGGAACTAATCAGAAGCAGAATCCATATCCTCTTCCTTCAGATGAACGCCTGGAACCAAGAGATCTGCAGTTATGTGAACATCTGCTCTTTCTGACTATGTTTAATCCCTTTGTGGAGGGGAAAAATCGTATGCTTTAAACATCTTCAGTATTTCTCCAGTGGGCCTCTTATTTATATTTATTTATTTAAAACATTTCTGGGCCGCCTTTCTCCCCCAAAATAACCCAAGGCAGTTTACATCACTAGAACAGTATTTAAAAGCTAAAACAGTAAGTATACAAACATTAAAAAAGGATTAAACAAGTACTATATGAAAATTAGATCAATATCAGAACACATTTAAAACAACTGAGCACAACAGCGCGTTTAAAACTCCTCTCAGACCACCAGGCGTTAAGGAAAAGCCTGCCTGAAGAGAAAGATCTTTGCCTGCCTGCAGAAGGACAGCCAAGATGGGGGCAGCCTGGCCTCCAGTGGCAGGGAGTTCCAGAGGCTGGAAGCAGCCGCAGAGAAGGCCCTCTCCTGTGTCCCCATCAGACATACCTGTGAGGGTGGTGGGACTGAGAGAAAGGCCTCTCCTGATGATCTTAATGCCCGGGCACGCTCATAGAGGGAGAGGTGGCCTTTCAGATGGCTTGGACTCAAGACGCTTAGGGCTTTGTAGGTTAAAACCAGCACTTCAATAGTGCCCACAGACCATCAGCAGCCAGTGAAGCTGTTGTAACAGAGGTGCTGTTACATGTTCCCTGTAACAAGCCCGTTAGCAATCTGGCTGTGGAATTTTGGATCCTTTGGAGTTTCCTGACCCTTTCCAAAGGCAGTCCCACATAGAGCATGTTATAGCAATCCAGCTGGGAAGGAACGAGGGCACATGGCACCGTGGCCAGATCAGACCTCCCAAGAAAGTCGTGGCTGGCACACTCGTTTTAATTGTGCAAATGCATTGCCACAACCTGGGCCTCTAAGGCTCAGAGAGGAATCCAGGATCTCCCACCTCAGCTGCATGCCTGTGTTTTCAGAGGGAATGTCACCTCATCCACCACAGGCTGCAACCCTGTTCCTTGATCTGGTTTCTGACTGACCAGGAGCACCTCTGTCTTGTCTGGATTAAGTTTCAGTTTACAGTGGCCCCTCACTAGACAGTTACCCCGCTTGACAGTTTTTTTACTAGACACTGACTTTTTGTGATCGCTATAGCGATTCGCAAAACAGTGATTCCTATGGGGGAATTTCGCTGGACAATGTTTGGTCCCTGCTTCGCAAACCAATTTTCACCAGATATCTATTTTGACAGCTTCCTCCATGCTCGCAAAACGGGTGTTTTCGTGACTTAAGCTTCGCAAGACAGCGATTTAAACAGCTGATCGGCGGTTCGCAAAGTGGCTTTCCTATGGCTGATCTTTGCTAGACAACGACGATTCTTCCCCGTTGGAACGCATTAAACAGGTTTCAATGCATTCCAATGGGGAAATGCTTTTCACTAGACAATGATTTCGCTAAATAGCAATTTCAGTGGAATGGATTATTATTATCTAGCGAGGCACCACTGTACAGTGGACCCTCGACTTACAGACGGCTCGACTTACAGACTTTTCGAGTTACAGACTTCTCTGGCTGCAAAATTTAGATTCGACTTACAGCCGGAGAATCGACTTACAGACCAGAAAAAAACCAAAATGGAATAAAAATAGAATAAAACCCGCTGGTTATGGGATTAATCGGTTTTCAATGCATTGTAGGTCAATGGAGATTCGACCTACAGACTTTTTGACTTGCAGCCACCATTCCAGTACGGATTAATTCCTTAAGTAGAGGGTCCACTGTATTCTCCCTCATCCAGTCCACGACTGGCACCAGGCACTGATCTAGAAGTAAAAGAGCCTCCTTGGATTTTGATGGAAAGGAGAGAGAGTTGGGTGACACCAAACCCCAAAACTCTGGACTGCCTTTCCTGGTGGTTTCATGTAGATCTTGCATAGCAAAGGAGACAAAACAGATCCCCGAGGGACCCCAGAGGCCAGAGGCCAAGGTGTTGGACAGGCGTCCCCCAGCATTACCCTCCAGCGCCCTTGAGGAGGAGCAAGGTCTCAACTTACGGCATCCCGGCTGGTGGACTTCATGATCTCGCTCAGGCCGATACAGACGCCTTGTCTCTTGTCGCTCATTTCGGACCTCAGACCTTCTTCCAAAATGGGGATAATTTCTGGAAGAATCTTCTCCCCCAGCTTTCGCACAAGGTCGCCCAAAGTCCGCGCTGCAATCGACTCCCCAAAATAAAACAAACAAATAAACAAAAGTAGCTGAGTCCCTTTTAATGGATCCAGGAAAACATGTGAGCGGTGACCCCATTCCGAATACATCCGTCCATGTCACCATTTTATGTGCCATCCTGTCCCTTGCAACTTATGGCAACCCTCCCGGTCATTTCAAAATATAAAAATTGTTTAAGGAAGGGTTTATCATTGCCACCCCTACCCCTGAATTTCCACGGTCGTGCAAGGATTCGAATCCAGATCTCCTGAGTCCTGGTCTAACACTCTCGCCATTACACTCCCCTGTTACATCCATACTAAATAAAAATGCTTATTTGTAACTAAAATATCCACCATAAATTTCTAATAGGCAAAAAAGGGAATGGTATAGAGAACTATGGGATATGGCAATTAAAGATAAACTCACCTGTGATATGAAAATAAGAAGAAGCCTATCAAAAAAATAATGATTTTAAGAAAATACTGAGTGTATCCTTGGAGCATGTGTTTCGGAGAGGGAAGGGGTATCCACCGAGGGAAGAAACAATGAAATTTTGGAGAGAAAATGGACTGAATGAAATTTAAAAATATCATTAATGCTAGCCCTGAGGGTGATTGGCGGCATTGGTGTAATATGTAATTGTATTTTATTGTGGTGTTAGGCTTAAGTTGTTTAGGTCGGATGCTTGTTTAATAAATTTATTTTGAAAATTAATAGTAATAAAAAGAAAGGCCCGGCGGGCCTGAACACTGAACTGTTCTCTTGTCAGCACAGGTGCTGGCCAGGAACCCCAGCAGGTGGCTAAAGAGCGTTGGCAAAATCTCACGGAGCGTGCGAGGGGTGTTGGAGACCACAATCTTCCAAACGTGCAGGGAAGCCTGGCGGACGGCCAGCTGGGTATCGGAGCGGCCCATGTACAGCCCGGCCAACACTCTGTTCCTCCGCTCCACTCCGAGTGCCCCAATGATGGCCTGGAAAAATGGGGGGGGGGGAAGAGAGAGAGAGAAAAAACGGTTAAATCAGACACGCAAAAAGGAGCCATCGCCAAGAAAGTCGTAATTGTGATTTTCACAAGGAAGGGTTACACTGGAAGGGCCAAACTAGCCAAGACTCTTTCTGTCTCATCAAGCCAGATAGGAGTCATCCGGTTTCTTCCCAACCGGGCAAAAGAGTGATTAACACGTTCCATCAAGGAGACAGTCCCCTTTGAATCCAGGGACCTTATGCCGCTTTTAATATAAAATTAAGGCTCCAGGAGACACCATAACGGATCTGCACAGTCGTATTTAGATTGGTCCTAGTAGTAGGTTGAAAGGGACGCTCCTCTCTTGAACGGCACTGGGCTGAGGAGCGTGGTTTGAGTGACACAAGGATTTACAGTATCCCTGGCCCCCCCACGGCCCTGCAAGTTCAACACTGACGGTGTCAAAAGTGGTCTACGTGGCCCCCAAACAAAACATTTCTAGCTCAGCCTCTAGATCAGGAGGTCATAAGAACCTTTAAGGCTCATGACACACAGTATGGAGTAGAAAGGATGGTCAACACCATGGAAGAAAGACCCGACAGAGAGAACGGTTCTCTCTGTGTTTGTGTTAATCAACTCTTTATGCTTTGTAGGTACATTTCGGGAGGGGCCCAAGCGTTATGCACAGATTTTGAACTCCAAGGGGATCCTGCACCCCTAACTTCAGCATGGTTGAAGGGAGAAATGTATCTCTCTGGCTTGAAGGGGAAGTGGGGGGGGGGAGGCAGCAGGCACGACACACAAAGTCTCACTTTGTTGGACTGGGCTGTCCCAAAGTTGTCGTCTTCAGAAGCCGTCTCTGTGGTCATTTTCCCTGTGACGCCCGAAATATGGAAGAGGAGATCTCCAAGCAGCTGAACAGAACTATACCTGTTCAAAAAAGAAAAGGAGGAAAGCATGAGGTCGTGAACAAGGGGGAGGTGCCTCCTTCTTGGCCGAACGGATTTAAGAGCTGTCTTCCCAACACAGAGGGAACCACACACCGAAGAACAAGGAAGGAACCCTCTCTCTCTCTCTCGTTTCCAGCTTAGGTACAAGAATCACCTCGTTCTTTCTCTTTCTGCAAATCCATACCTACCCACCTTCAGGCACAGTTGTGCATGGAAACTGGGATGTGGCATAAAATAAGTGTATCTTTAAATAAGAGCATCTGAAGGGATTCCATGGCATCGCCTTCGTGGGGGACATCAATACAATCCCCCCCAAATGCCAATAACACCTGAATAAATCATTGCTGGGAGGACAAAGAGACGCTTCCAAATGGAAAGATTATTCATTTCAGGTTCTTTCAAGCGCACCGGTCAAACTGAGAGAATGGACTTTTTAAAGGGCAAGAAGCGCTCTGTGAATATTATCACTGTAAGACCAGTAACTCCTTATTCCGCATTCTGCTTTATCTACCCGCTCTCTGCTGACAGCCTAGCCCACCCGATCAGGGTTTCATCTGCAGTTGTGCAGAAGGACAGTCGCTGACCTCTGCACTTCCCACAAAGGTCCTGGGTGTCGGGCTCATGACATCCATGCTTGCAGGACCTCAAAGGCCACCTGATCTGGGAGCTCCCACCTCCCACCTCTGGCCAGTCAAGCGTTTCTGGGAATGGAATCCTAATCAAATTCTGAACACAGGTCAGTCAAAGGACTGTCTCCCGCTCGATGAATGTGTCCCATTCCACCTTGAAAGCTGAGGTGGAATCAAATAAGTAGTTCTGATTTTTCTGAGTTTCTTTTTAAAGCCCCAATTGCATATCCTTCCTCGCTTTGTTTCAATGCCATTTTCTTCTTGCCCTATAATCTGTGCAGAGGCACATCTACTGCACAATTCACCAGATTTGCACCACTTTTCCATCTTGCAGTCTGTTTGTGCAAACTTTTTGCAGTTTAAAGTGGAGCGCACTGTTTCGGGTTCAACTTCGTTTTCCAGAAATGCCCTGAAAGCCTCACAGTCTTGCCGTTCCTTCCCACAAAAGTCCACCTCTTTGCTCCATGGGTCTCGGGTGTGTGCGTGTGTGTATGGGCCAGAGGAGTGAGGTGGTGACCTCCATCGAGAAACTCAAAGGCCACAAAAGTTCTCTTCTCTCATTAGCTAAGAGCTGATGCTGATGGCATCAACCTCTGGGACAGCCGAGAAATCCAGCTCACTCTCCTCGAGCAGCTTGGCAGGAGGCTTGAAGCCATGCCAGAAGCCTTACCTGATGCGCCAGAGGTCGTCGAAGAGACCCTGCTCCAGCTGCGGCAAGAGGAGCGCGATGGCCGTTTCCGCGTACATGCTGATAATTCTCTGTCCGGCACGCAGGGCTGTGTCTCGCACAAACTCGTTCTCATCGGCCAGCGCCTACGAGGACAAGAGATGAACGTTGGCCAGTGGCTTTGCTGAGTTTAAGGCACGAATAGGGGATGAACGGGGAAGTCCCTGGGCCAGATCACACTTCTGCCACGAACCCTCTTGACCTGAAGCAGAGAGGGAGCAAAGGGCAGCCTTCGGAGGGACGGCTGGGACTTCCAGGGGCCAGATCACACTTCTGCCACGAACCCTGTTGACCTGAAGCAGAGAGGGGGCAAAGGGACGGCTGGGACTTCCATTCCCATCAGCCCTTGCCAACCGACAGTAAGGAAGGTTGGGAGTGGCCAGGCAGCAGCATCTTTACCCAGTCCTGATCGAATGGGAACCACTCTCTCCCACTCCCGATCTTCAGTTCCCATTTCACTGGGAGGAGTTCAACCCTTGCCTCCCAAGTTTAAAGGAATCGGGTAGCAGGGGATGGAAGATCCCATTATTTTTTCTCCACATGGCATCCCAGGGCTTTCCCCACTCCCTTTAGCCTCAAGACAAGCCTACGACAAAGTAAAACACGCAGAAGAAAAACAGACCAGGCTGTGGGCGTCCTCAGCAGGAGGTTACACTGCAAGTTTCCCAGCGGAGGCAGACTCGAGCCTCGCGGTCCCAAGGGCCACACTCCGCCCACGACCCCATACCGGCCACACAAAACAAGGACCTTTCTTGAGCCTTGTGGCACAATGGTTAAACTGCAGGACAGAAGGACCCCCATACCCATGCGATTGGTATCCACGGTTTCACATATCCAGTGTCTAAAAATATTTAAAATCTTGCAAGAAAAAAAAACCCAAAATAAGTGTTTTCACAATGTAATTACTAGAAGTGTCCACCGGGGGGAGCCGAAGGCCATGTTATGTATAGGGTTTGTTGTTATCCGCATTTTTCGGCATCCACAGAGTGGTGCTTAGAACCGGCCCCCACAGATACAAGGGTCCTACTGTACTGCAGTCATGATCCTGCTCATGATCTGAATTTGATTCCGACAGGCTCAAGTAGCCGGCTTGAGACTGACTCAGCCTTCCATCCTTCCAAGGTTGGTAAACTGAGTACCCAGCTTGTTGGCGTGGTTGGGGGGGGGCAGGGAGTATAAACTGAGTACCCAGCTTGTTGGCGTGGTTGGGGGGGGCAGGGAGTACAATGTGTAGCCTGCATAGTTAAACTGTAAACCGCCCAGAGAATGCTTTAAAGGCTGTGGGGCAGTACAGAAGCAGCACGCTTTGTTTTCTTTGCCAAAAAATAAACTAAGCGGCCATTGCTAACCAAAGGAGAAATTATCAAACTGGGAATATTAACGTCAACCCAGCTTGTTGGCGTGGTTGGGGGGGGCAGGGAGTACAATGTGTAGCCTGCATAGTTAAACTGTAAACCGCCCAGAGAATGCTTTAAAGGCTGTGGGGCAGTACAGAAGCAGCACGCTTTGTTTTCTTTGCCAAAAAATAAACTAAGCGGCCATTGCTAACCAAAGGAGAAATTATCAAACTGGGAATATTAACGTCATGTAAATGTGGTCTAAAAAAGAAGACTCTTAAGTTCCTGTTTGTAATATTAATATTAACGTCATGTAAATGTGGTCTAAAGCAGACTCTTAAGTTCCTGTTTGTAATGTCAGGCTGGCAGTAATACTTACAGATCCTACAGGGGGACATGAAAAAAAACCCGAACACAGACAAAATCCCAAACAAAAAAACGAACAAAAATTTTTTCCTTCTTTTTTCTTTAGAAGAACAGGCACGTCTATTCCTACTAGAAAACACCAGCCATCTGTCAGGAAAACCCTACCTTCAGGATGCAAGGTATGATGGGCCCGACATAAGGTGTAAATTTGTCCCCAAAGGTAATGGGCAAGTAGATGAACATCATGATATAACCATCCCGAACATGTGGGGCAATCTCCACTTTGCTTGCCGTGGCGACAATTTCTGGCATAAGTTTTTCCAGCTTTTCTACTCCCAAACCAGCCATGACTTCCGCCAGACCTGGAAGAGAATAAATGGGAATCTGGCACCATCGTGACTTGGATAAATGCTGCCATGTCAACAGAGGGTGGAAGAGGTGCAGAATACAGGAGGGTGCTCAGATTTCACCTTGTTCTTCTTTGTTTGAAAACAGAAAACAGGTTACTAGTCCTCATGGTTGTGGAAAATATACTCAAATGCACATGGGCCAGATCTGGTAAAACTTCGGAGGAAGTAAAGATGCTGCTGAGTAAGATCTCTAATGACTGGAGGAAGATGCTCAACAATGCACTTTCAAACTGCTTTTATTGCAGTTATTGTAAAGGGTTCAATCATATTTTTTTAAACATTACTGCTGCTTGCGTTTGTATCCGTGCTTTTTTCTTTTTGTTAGCATTGCCAAAAGCTGCCTTGAGTTTAAGGTTAGGAACAAATATAAGATGCAAAACAAATACACTTGAAAGCCTCAACCTTTCGCACGTCTGCTACCCCTGCTTGTAGAGACACTGATGCAACCATCGCTACCAGTGAAGGAGACTTCCACGGTCAGATCGCTCCCAACAGAGACCTAAAACGGTGAGCCGATCGTCTGTGGCAGCCAGATGGAGACCCGGAGGCTTCTCTAACTCCAGAGCCATATTTTGGAACATTTAGAGTTCCAACGTATTAACTTGACTACAGGAGAGACGGTGAGGAAAGAAGGTAAGAAGAATATGTAAGACGGAAAGCACGATCTTTTCAAAATCATAACGGGGCAGAATTGAAATGAAAAGAACTGGAGAGCAGGAGAAACAGAGTAAAGATCTGATCAAGAAGTGAAAACACAGCAAAGGCAGAGTAGGAAGTGGTGAACGGTGCCCAACTGTGCCCACGTTGGACCACAAAAGAAACAAGCCACTACATTGCATCTTCCCGGAGAGGAAAAAGAAAAAATTCCAAACCCAGTCTGTAAAGGACGCTTGATGTGCATTATGGGCAGAGGATGGAGCTAAAGTACTTGTGTTGTTTGCCTGAATTCTTATGTACTAGGATTTATTGGTCTTCAGTCATTCTCCTTAGCATTTATTTGCTGAACCCAAGAGAGGCATGGAAGTCGTGGGAAATGGAGCGGGTGGCCGTCCTCGGCTGCCCTTCCCAGGGAAGGCAGGACCAGTATTTCCAACTCCGGATGAGGCAAATCTCCCATCCCTGCAGCAACTCTGTTTAAACAAAGTTGACCTTCCTTTTGCCCGTGATTGTTCAACTGCACATAAGGGGAGCAGGGGTCTCTGCAGATGGCTTTTGCCTCTCAATGCAGCCTTTTAGCAACCGAGCCACTCCAGAGGAAAATCAACAACCTCCCCCACCCCCATGCCCCACAAACTCTGTTGTTCTTGCCTTGCGCGGCACCGGATCGATCCACCGAACTCTGCTCGGACGTCAGGGTCTCGATCAGCCAAGGCAGCAGGTCTTCGAAGCAGGATTCGCCCATCCCCTTCACCATGGCTCCTAGGGCTTTTGCGGAGACCGTGCGCACCTGGGGTTCAAAGAGAAAGAGAGTCACTGGAATGGGAACCTGTTACAGGGAGGGGAAAGGCCAGCTGTGAAGGAGGAGGAACGTACCTCTGGCACAGGGTCCAGCAGGGAGGTCTTCAGTCCAGGGATCACACTGGGCAAGTAAGGAGCCAGATCCTGGAAAAGAAAGGGCAACAGGCAACTGAGACGAAAATGTCAGAACTCTTTGGTATCAGGGCGGCCGGACTTTGCAGGGTATGTACAACGACAACACGACAGATAGGCCTGCATGGGCTTCCAGCGAGGATCTGGCCCCTTTCCAAAGACAGCTAGCTCTGTCACAAGCATCGTGGGGCCAGGAAGTGGGACTCCGGATGTTGCTGGGCAGCCCCTCCCCTCAGCTCCAAGATAATCATGGAAGGGGTAGGCTAGCATCACCTGGAAAGCCACAGGTTCCCTAAAGCAAAGGGAGAAAGTCCATGAATATGTGCCAAAACCACCTTGCATTCTGAATGTGCACCTGAACTTCGAAGGAACTACCACTGGTTCAAGGCAGCTATTCTAGATGTGACTTAGTACCAAGATTTCTCAGACCAAGGGGCCCCTGCTCATGCTTTGAATGCCTGCAGCCCCACATTCAATCCCTGGCATTTCCAGGTAGGCTCTGGGAGAGAATCCTGCCTCATAACCCTGCAGAGATAGATTAACGAGATGGCTAAGGATGGGAGCTTGGGAGCTTTAAGACTATGCTTCCCCATAATTCTCCATTCTGGGGATTCTGACCAGACAAATACCGTACAGACACTTCAATGTGGCTCACCTGGGAAGAAAGGCCTAGAGTGGAAGGACCAGAGGGTCTAGCTCTGGTTTCGTTCCTGTTCAGGGAGAAAGTTCCCAGCTAGCACCGTGGCAGGAAATAGGGAAGTTAGATGGAGCAAGACCTAGCTAGGCCTCGAAACCTGCCAGTTGAGGTGTTTTCTCCCAGGTAAGCCACAATTAGGTGTTTGTTAGGAAGAACTCCCAGAAGGAAGAACTATTGGATTTGTAATCCAGTAAGTCTCATCCCCTAAATATGATTCCTAGTGAACAGAGATGAGCACAAAACCAGAAAACCAGTGGTTTGTGAATCACCACAAACCCCCAGGAAACTGGTGCAGTTAGTTTTTCCCATTCATGCTTGGCAAGGAGCCTCTTCCCCCCTATGCCTCTTCCTCTTCTCTCCACCGGTTCTGCCGCCCCATCGCCAACGCGGCTGCACCCATGTCACCATCAGCTGGTTGGTGGGTGCAGGCGCACAGACAGAAGGCCTGGTTCCAGGAAGGAAAGCCCGGCCTGCTGTCTCTGCGCATGCGCCCACCTATTAGCACGTGGGCAGAAGCAGCCCGGTGGGCTTTCCAGGAGAGGAGGCTGGGCCTGCTGTGTCTGAGGATGGCCGTGACCACAGCAGGACCAGGTATGGAGGCGGCGGGGAAGGAGGCGTCAAAGGGCTAAGAGGGAAAAAGTTGGCCACTTCATTCTGCTTGGGTGAAACAGGGCCCCAAAACAGGTTCACGAACACGTCCGGTTCATCAGCCTTTCCGTTCCACAGTTCGGTTCATGCACGCCTCTACTAGCCAACTATTTCTCTTTAGTTCCCACTCTCAATCTCTCACATTGATGGATTTCCTTCAGATACTGCAGCATGAGCATGGCCAGATGGCTAAACGTTCAAATAAATTTGGAGTAACAATAAAGAATTGACAGCCAGCGCTTCTATCCCCAGTTCTAGGCACAGATGGAGGCCATTCAAGTCAACTGTCCCTCATGGGCCTGAAGAAGAGCATCTGTCCACTCAGCCTCTTTACTGCAAACCATATGCAGCAGGGGAGCTCGGACTCAGCAGCGTACCTTCTGATCCGTCAGAGAATACATATTCCCGATGATCTGGGCAGCCATCTTCCTCGTGTCTGTGGAGCGATCTTGGAAGGCGCGCTGAACAATGGGCATGATGAGGGCGAGGGAAGGCGCATCAATGAAATGGACAAATTTGGTGTCCAGTAACGTCTGCAAGCACTTCTGGGTTTTCCGGGAGGGGTCCGTCAAAGCATCCAAGAAAACGGGCGCAATTGCTGCAACGTCAGGAAGAAGGCAAAGGAACAGGCTCGTGAGGTCTGGCTGAGCCAAAGTCAACCTCAAAAATCCAAGAGGATGTCACACCAATGCCAGAACTCTCCGGTTGGCCCAGGCCAAAGAAATACCATATATTTCCATGTATAAGACTATAGACTAAAAATTGAGGGTCGTCTTATACATGGAAGTAAGCTGAGGAGAGAACATAAACAAGTGGAGGGGAAAGCAGGGATCAAAGCGATCCTGCAGCACTTTGATCCCTTTCCCCCTGCACTTGCTAAGCCCCACTTAGATGTCTTCATTTTGGATTAGAAAAGTGGAGGGCGTCTTATACACGGAAAAATACGGTAACTAATCCACTGTTCCCTTTCCAGCCGGGCCAGTCCTACCCTGAGGCAGAGTAGGGCAGCTGCTGGTGGCACAGGATTTCCAGTGCCATGAAAGGTACGGAAATGGTTAAGTCATTTATTATTATATTTTCCCTGCCAAGGATCAAGGAGAGACACTTTGTACAATTTGGTTTTAAACTGCCCTTGGTGGCCAGATGGGCTGTATAAAAGTGAAACTAACAAACAAACAGTCTTTTCCTGGGCCAAAGTAATTTAGTTCACTTTGAATACTGACTTCGCCAGCTTCAGTTTCTCTGCTTTGCCTCACTGGAATAAAAATGACTTCAGCCAGCCTCAGAGAATAGAAGTGTTACATTTCTTTTTAAAAATGATTTAACGCCTAAAATCTCCAGAACTTGGCTGAAGCATTCTAAGAATGGTACTCTCCAAAAGTAGCTTTTTATGCCTATTTTTGGGGTTATTTTTGCACCCCACCTTTTCGCCCATGGGGGCCACCCAGCTCTCCCCTTCCATTATTAAAAAAATTATTTATTTCATTTAAAATAAAAGCCAAACCACACACCCCCACCACCACAAACCCAGAGACAAATGAAGATGGAGCAGTGGCCGCCATGACGCACAGGATCCCTTCCAACCCTGCAATCCTAAATTTATTAGATAAGATGCTTTAACACTGTCTTCATTCACTAATCTTACTTTTATATCCTATTTCCCCCCTAGTGCGTTCAATTTTAGCCTTCCTACATGCTGTGCGGTAGGTCAGGGTGTGAGAGAGTGACTGTGAGATTCTTAGCTTGTCAAGGACTAGAAGCTTGACCTGTCAAATCCCAGGCCAACACCATATCCATGCCGGCTCTCCTGCTCTGCCTTCTACAGCTCAGCTTAGGATTCCACCACCAGGACAACCAACCCCTTGAAGGGGAAACGCTATCCTGCGACTCTCCCACGGGGAGTTTTACCCAGGATCTCAGGGTTCCTGATCACTGATCCGATTTGCCGGAGCGCCTGCTGGCCCGCCTTCTGGACCTTCACGTGGGAGTCCGTCAGCACTTCGGTGAGCTTCGGCACGATGTTGGGCAGGCAGGAAGAGAGCTGCTTGGGAGCGCAGTACGCCATGGCCCCGAGGAGCTCCACCGACCCTGGAGAACGGCCGGAAGTGGCAAAAGTGAGCAAAAGACATCCTCCCCAAAGCAGTGTGGGGTTCATTCACGTCGCCATCCTTTGCTACAGGTCGGAACGGAAGTTATTCCCACCAAACGGGAAACTGCCAGGCAAGGGTGTATAAGATGTACAGTGGGGCCTCGCTAGACAGTTACCCCCCATGACAGTTTCTTCGCTAGACATTGACTTTTTGCAATTGCTATACCGATTCGCAAAACAGTGATTCCTATGGGGGAATTTCACTGGACAATGTTTGGTGCCTGCTTTGCAAACCAATTTTCGCTAGACGACGATTTTGACAGCTCCCTCTGCGCTTGCAAAACGGGTGTTTTCAGGACCTAAGCTTCGCAAGACAGCTATTTAAACAGCTGATCGGCGGTTCACAAGGCGGCTTTCCTATGGCCGATCTTCACTAGACAACGACGATTCTTCCCCATTGAAACGCATTAAACAGGTTTCGATGTATTCCAATGGGGAAATGCTTTTCGCTAGACAATGATCTCGCTAAACAGCTATTTCAGTGGAATGGATTATCATCGTCTAGCGAGGCACCACTGTACTGCCTTACAATTGCAAAAAACCTGGGCGATATTGTAGGAGAGGTATCCCAAGATGGAACTACCTGTTGTAACTCATGTTCTTCTTATGAGAGGAGGATTGGGGAAATCTCTGGCCCCCTAAACCCATGGTCCTCCCTGGTGAGATTCCTGGCCACTAAAAGATGCAAAAGGACCCAAGGTGGGGCACAGGGTTTTATTTTACATCTGCTAAGAATTTATTATCAATGGCAGAAAATCAACGGGAATAAACCGAGTCTCAATGGCTTCAGTGGATCTGTTCTAGCTGGGACTAAAATTTGGATTGTGTTATAACATTTGAGTGACATTTATATCTGAACTGTAACTACTCCATTTTCCAACCACTAAAGGGGGATATTATTTTTGTTCACGTCTATTTCGAAGAATACTACACTATCTTGCATCTGCTTATAATGTCATGTCAATGATAAATACAACAGACCGGGCAAAATTCTGCCGGCACAAAGTTATGCTGTAGCGCTGGACGACCTCTTTACGGAATACAAGTCAGTAACATTTCATTTAAATGAATGGAAAGCCTCCGGTCCCTCCGGATCTCGGTTCCAAGCCTTCCTTGGAGTTTTATTGAGCCCTCAGGAAGCTTTGAAAGGCGAAGGAGGAAACCTTTCAGGGTTGAAAATCCCCACCAGATTCTGGCCAGCAGAACTGGGACCACCAGCGGTGATTTTTGACTATTAAAGGCTCCTCTTCCCCACCTCGCGAGGCACGCAAACATTTCCCCAGGGAAAACAGGAGCCTTAGGGAATCTTGTAACTTGAAACAGGCGGACCGGAAGCTGTTCAATTCCTTTAAATAAAAAACTGTTGGTTCTGGGGTAATGGCGTCATCTGGTTCCGTGGTGTAACGTTACACCGACAGGATTCTAGCCAATGTCTGCAGACAGATGTACAAAATGCTTTTCTTCAGTAAACTGGCTTTTATCTTTCTATCATGGTTGGACCCGGATTCTTATTCCCTCTCAGCCTCCCTGAGCGTGTCTGATTCCATAAGCTAAGCCGGATGTTCTCAGGCCAGTGCTTGGATAGGAGACTAAGAGAGCGTAGAGGGGGTGGATGATTGGGAGCTGAGGTTGGGGGGGGCACGTGATGGCTCAACAGCAGGAGCTCCGGTCTTACACCTTTCCTTCCCAACCTCATCAGGTAGCGGTAGAAACCCTGGAGAACGACGTGGAATGGTTTGCCGGGCAAAAGAAGAAAAGGAACGGACGGTCAAGAGTACAGAAGGAAAGTTGTGCCACTTTTAAACGGTTGATTGAAATATTATGCTTGCACATCTGCAAATCGTCTTGTGTCAAGTGGATTTTCAATCTGCCCAACTAGTATCCAGCCTTCTTGAACCTTAGAAATAATGTAATGAATGTAGAGAGCCTCTTTTTCACAAAGACGGGCACACAAGAGAGCAACACCGCTTCCCCCCCCCAAAAAAAATCACGCCAAATACCAGCTTTGGTTCTCCACGACTCCTCCTCGAGGGCCGCCAGCAAGGAGGGCAGCACCAGCTTCACCCCATGGGCGCTGAGGTGACTCATCACGGCCTTGGCACAATCGTCTGCCGCCTCGAGGGAAGGAAAAACCAACACTCACAATGTTGCCCAGCCTGACTCCGAAAGCCTGGCTCTCAAGCCCGGCCTCTTCCGGCTCCGTCTCGCCTCAATCAAAGAACACACTGAGAGAGGCAAGCGGAAATAAAAGTGTGCAAAACCACGTCCCCGACACAAATTTAGCTCTACACTCGGACAGGAAAACACACACACACCCCGCAGGGCTTTCGCCTCGCCGAAAAACGGAAGCACCTCTTACCTCTCGGACGTACTGATTCCCGTCTCCGAAACAGAGCAGCAAGTGAGGTAAAACGTGAACTACGTAGGGCTCAAAAAGCTTCCCAAGCATGGTGCAGAGCATCTCAAAAGCGAATAAGGCCCCTGAAGAGGAGACAGAAGGGCGGTTAAGAGGGAAACGGCCACCTGGCAGGACCAAAGGTTACGCCGTGGGAGAGGGGGCAGACCCGGCTTTGCCCTGCTCATTGACTTCCCTCGAAGACCCATTCGTTGAAAACGAGAGGGAGCCCTGATTAATCACGGGGAAACGATACAGAGCCCACACTGATTCTCAGAGACTTAAGTCAACATACAAGAATATTTGCCCGAGTCTTTCCTAAGCACAACCTTCACTAGTGTGGAAGCACAGGCCTGAATCTGTTGATAAGCTGCCATTTGTGACCAGGTGATTTATGGAAATTTTGTCAGGGGTTGAATTTCAGTGAACAAGGGGTTGGATTTAATATTGTAGTGAAAATGCAAAGTCAGGCCTGTAACATCAAGCCAATGGATGACTGATAGCATACAGATGGGACAAGCTTAGGTAATGCTTGTTAAACGTGTTCAGCTGCTCTGTCTGCAGTGATCGGCTGCTCTCCCTATTTAGGCAAGTGTGCGAAAACAGCACTTCGCCACTCAGTTGTGAGTCTGGTGGTCATTACTTTATTTGAATGTGAATGTTATGTCGCTCTGAGAGATCTATGCCAATGTATATATTGCCATGTACAGTGGTGCCTCACTTAACGAGCGCACCGTTTAACGACAAATCCGCATAGCGACGCGTTTTTTGCGATTGTTAATGCAATTGCATCGCGAAGTTTAGATAGGCCAAAAATCGCAGTGCGATGATCGGTAAGCGTTTCGCTTACCGATCTTCACATTGCGATGTTCTAAAAACAGCTGATCAGTGGTTCCAAAATGGCTGACGGAAGTATAAAATGGCCGCCCGCTCTGTTTTTGCGCCCTGCCCTCACTTACCGAGGCAGCGAAAATGGCGGCCGGATGGGGGATTCTTCGCTTACCGGTGAGTTTTCCCCCCATAGGAACGCATTAAACAGAGTTTAATGCGTTCCCATGGGGTTTTACATTCCATATAGCGATGTTTCCGGATAGCGACGTTAATCCTGGAACGGATTAACGTCGCTATGCGGGGCACCACTGTATATGTATGTCTGACCAAGTCTAATACACTATAAGTCTTATCAGAACTCTCTCTGTGTATATTTTCTTATACGTCTGCGTCATTGCTCTGCTTGTTAAGGGGAGGATTTGAAGCTACCGGATAAGAGACGCTTGTGTAACTTGTTATCTTGGGCTCCAAGGTTTGTTTTCCCTAACACAGTGCTCTTGGAAGCGTCACTATCCAAATCTGACCCCAAGCTTTGTGAGAGGCAATACGCCACATCAAATCATTGGAGTGGCAAGCTTTGTGAGAGGCAAATGCCACATCAAATCATTGGAGTGGGCCCCACGCCAACAGACAGTTCATGAAGGGGGCCCATAGCAAAGATGTTCCTCACTGGCAGTTCTCAAACTTAGGCTGTTTTAGACTTCACCTCCAAGAATTCCTCACTGCTGGCCACACAAGTTGGCTCGCAGGGAGTTGAAGCCTGGGCGAAAATCCATTTGAGGAAAATATATAAGCAGAAGGACAATTCTGTGGGTTTTTTTTCCCCTTCCTGCATGTCATCTGTTGAGCGGCTAGTGCCGGCACACAACTGTTCATTCAACCCGCAGATGTGGGCAAGCGTGCCAGACAGGGGGCTACATAGATAGGATTGTTAGTGTGGCGGATCATCATGATCACGTCGGGAAAAGGATCAGGTCCTAGAAGACCCAGGTTGAGCCTATACAACTCTGCTTTCTTGGGACAAGATCTCTGCCAGATTCCTTCGAAAGGACCATCTTCACCTGGGAAAAGTCATAGGAAGGCTTGCCCTGGGATGTTCTTGGTCTGGACTAGGAAACCAGGACACACACAGATTTCAGGCGAACAACTTTAAGAACCTGAGGGCTGAGGAAGAAGTGGCCTATTCACCTTCTCGCCTTCGAAAGTTCCGTTTGTCTTGGATGGCGTCCGTCAACTTAGACATCATTTCCTGCTGCTTGAGGGAGAGGATGCCCAAGCCTTTCACGAGGCCAGCCAGACCATAAGCAGCTCCTTTCCTCTCGGCGTACTTATCAGACTCCAGCAGCAACTGTAGCAGCTTCTGGATCATGCCCCCGGCATCCTCTTTGATCGCAGGCACCAACGGCGGTAAGCAGCTGGCCACAGACTCCTGGACCTACGGAAACCACCAGCATTTGTGATTCTGGGTGCCATTCACCAAGAGCATGCTGAATGTCCAGCAAAGAAAGAAAGTTTTAATCTTTACGCCCAGATAATTTGGCAACCTCTGTTTTTATTTGGTCAGTTAGTGAATTATTTGACATGGGTTCCCATTTGGGAAGGAAAGGCAACCTATGGAAGAAAGGTGGGAGAAGCTGCCTCCATGGCCACTAAGGGTTTCTGGGACTCTGGGAGCAAAATGGGGGCCCAAGAAGACCCCAGAAAACATTCTTCTTCTAAATATTTCTTGCAGGCAAGGGTGGGAAACCGAGCTCTAGGGGGAAAGACGGAAAGAACTTGAGGTAAGTTTAGCCTTGAGAAAAGAAGACTATGGGGAGATAAGAGAGCACTCTTCAAAGACTTGAAAGGCAGTCCTACAGAGGAGGGTCAAGATCTGTTCTCAATTCCCAGAGGGCAGGACAAATAATAATGGGCTGAAGCTACAGAAAGCCAGATTTAGGCTGAATATCAGGAAAAACCTCTTAACTGTCAGAGCTGTATGACAAGGGGACTTATGATCTTGGGAGGTGGTGAGCACTCCAACCCTGGAGGCCTTCAAAAGAAAATTGGACCACCATCATCTGTCAGATCTGCTTTGATTTGGATTCCTGCACTAAGCACGGGGTTAAGACTTGGTGGCCTTAGAGGCCCCTTCCCACTCCATGATTCTACACTGTTTGATGGCAACTCTCATCATTCTCTGGAGCTGATGGGAATTGGCAGCCAAAGGATGCCAAAAGGACCACACATTCTCTCGGCGATGTCTCTTTTGAGAGAGAGGACCACCATTTAAAGGTGAAGCTCCTTGACTTGATTCAAAAAAAAAATCAAGCCAAACTCATCTTCATTATATTGATATGATGGTACGCTGTACTGGCAAAGCCACCACTCCATGGAATTGCAGGTTGACTGACTGATAACACATCAGTATTTTCTGGGAATTGCTGTATTACACAAATAACCAAAGGAGTCAAACTGAATTCCAAACACAAAGATGGGTTTAAACTAAGATACTTTCCCCAGTGTCCTCATTCAAAACCAATCCCCCCCAAAACAGTAAGAGATGAACACATAAAAGTCGGAAATGAGTTTGAATAATCACATTTTTTGAAAATTATCGGGAATGGTGTGAAAGTCTCCTTCCTGGAAGTAGACGGCCAATCATGCCTGTAATAAGAACTTGGTGCCTACAAGGTGAAATTTGGTGGAACAGGAGAAACAGTGACAACTGCTTTTCTGGGTTCTTACCTCAGTCTGTCCTCATCTGTCTTTTACACACAGTGACTCCTTTCATCACTCCCTCAATCCACTTTCTAATTCTGGTCTTAATCTGTATCTACCTGCAGATACAGTCCCGGTAATAAGACATATTTTTTCTTAATTGGGGAAAAAAACCCTCATGTATTCTTTTTTACCCCCACCTTGCTACTTAATTCCAAACATCAACACTCACTACATTTCAGTTTTCAAGAAGCAGGGGATGGCGTGTGGGAGGTCTTGGTCAAAGAGAGAGACAGAGACAGACAAGCGGTTTGTGGGGGCAGCAAACGCACTGAAAAATCAGTGCCTCCTTCTCTGGCTTGGAACTGCCTCTGCGCAAGCCGGGCGACAGAATGACAGCCGCTTCTTTCAACCAGCCTTGTTATTCTTGGCAGCGGCTCACAAAGGGGTCGGGAGACTCAAGGCAGCAGAGCTGCGGAGGGACTTAAAAAGGGACAGACGTGCTTCTCCCTTCATATCTCATTTTCAGTCGGGTCGGAAAGGGAGGACGGAAAATGTGGGCAGGATGAGAGCAGCTTTTGCGAAACAGCTCTGTTGAAGACGAACCCAGAACACATGAAAGAAACAACCCACACATTCTCTTTTCAAACAACATCTTTCAGATTCCCTCCCCACCAATCAATATAGCCAGCTCCCATGAAGAGGGGATTCTGGGAGCCGCTATGATGATGATGATCATAAAACTTTTAAATCTGATTGTAAAACTCAGTCCATTATACCATCATTACCCTTTTCTAACTTCATTCTGCGGTGCTGCATTGTTGGTACAGCTGTAATTTGGAAGAACGATTAGTGTTAAGAAAAGGGGTTCGTGAGATGTCTCGGGTGTTCTCACAGACCACCACGTACACAAACACTTTCGGATCTCACTCCTGGGAAGAAAACATTTAGAGAACTCGAAGCCACTGAGAAACAGGACTTACTCCGAGCAGCACCTTCTGGTTCTCCTTGAGAGAGGAAGCTCAAGAAAGCTCCTGAGTCGAGGATGTGCTTTCGGTTTCCGGTGCAACAGGAGAAGCAGTGGCTCATCGAGGCGGCCAAATGGAGGGATCCGACCTGCACCTCACCCACCAAGGGCGATTCCCACACCGTAGCCGAGGAGAACTTACCTGCTGGGAGGGAGTGGAGAGCGCCGCTATCAGTTTGGCAACGATGGGCTTCACTTTGGGGTCGCTCTTGTCCAAATGCTTGGCCAAGGAGCCCATCAGGATGACCACGCTCTGCCGGACGGCGTCGTAGCTGGCGTCGTTGGGCGCGTTCTTGAGGAACTCCTCAAAGACCGGTAGCAGGGAGTTGACGCTGTCCTGGAAAGCGAACATTTGCACCGTGTGGATCAACAGAAGGCAATGCTACGCCAACTGCGTGGGAGTAGGCGAGAAAAAGAGAAATGCAGCCACAGAACCACCGGATATCTTAGAAAACACAGACAGACCGCTCATTTTGGCTACCAAAGAACTTCTTGCCTATGGCTAAAAAAACCTAGTGGGTTTTTGAGGTACGTGAGACGGTGAAAGAGTTGCTCATCGTTGCCATCCCCCTCGGAGTTGCTGTGGCGGACTGGAAACGGAAACCCAGGTGTCCTAGTCTGACATGCTATCGTCTATGTCAGCCATTCTCTATGGGGGGCCCCTGGGGGCCCCCATGGCATATTTCACGGGGACCACTGACTGGAAACAATTTTCCACACACCACCTTGGAAGGTTTGTTATGTGACTTATCCAATCTTGATTCAGCCTATATTTCCTTCGGGTTGTATTTATAGGTAAAGGTTCCCCTTGACATGCAGTCCAGTCGTGTCCGACTCTAGGGCGCGGTGCTCATCCCCATCTCCAAGCCGTAGAGCCGTTTGTCTGTGGACAGTTTCCATGGTCACATGGCCAGCGCGACTAGACACGGAACGCCGTGACCTTCACACCAAGGTGGTCCCTATTTATCTATTTGCATTTATATGCTTTCGAACGGCTAGGTCGGCAGGAGCTGGGACGAGTGACGGGCCCTCACTCTGACACGTGAATTCGATCTTACGACGGCTGGTCTTCTGACCCTGCAGCACAAAAGGCTTCTGTGGTTTAACCCACAGTGCCACACATGCCGGTCAGTGTAGATAGCAACCAACTAGTTGGACTGATGCTCCCTTGATCCAAGGCTGTTTTCTTCCCACAAATTTTAGCTTACCTTGCCGTGGGTATTGAGCGCCGAGAGCGCCGCATCCAGCATACACTTTCGGACCTCCGGATGGCGATCGTTAAGGGCATCTGGTACGAAGAACTGGAAGAGGGGCTTCACCTGCGAACCATCGAGATGCTGAGAGAGCTTGTTCAGGGCCAGGGCGATGCCGCACCTGCAAGGATAGCATGAGGTTTAACTATAATAGCTGAACCCGGCTGTGCCGAGACAGAAGCCTGGAGCAGCTGAGCTCAACAGGAGACAGAGAAGGGGCCGTTCTGACGAGCCATACCTGGCTTCCCACTGGTCTGGTGGAGATTCTGATATCACGCGTCCCAGAGCATCCAAAACTGGAGGCGGCCTCTGATGAAGAGAAACAGGCATTCTGTTAGATAGGTAAAGGTTCCCCTTGACCTTGAGTCCAGTCTTGTCCAACTCTAGGGGCCGGTGCTCATACCCATCTCCAAGCCGCGGAGTCAGCATTTGTCCAAAGACAGTTTCCGTGGTCACGTGGCCAGCACGACTAGATATGGAATGCCATGACCTTCCCACCGAGGTGGTACCTATTTATCTACTCACATTTTTAACATGCTTTTGAATAGCTACGTTGGCAGGAGCTGGGATAAGCGACAGGAGCTCCCTCTATCGCGTGAATTCGATCTTACGACTGTGGATCTTCTGACCTTGCAGCACAGAGGCTTCTGCAATTTAACCCGCAGCGCCATGACGTCCCTATTCTGTTAGATAACCCACCCCCAAAATCCATGGAAGAAAGGAACACAGCTTACACCTCGCATCTCATCCTGCCCCCTTCGGCCAGTGACTGATAAAGTTCATGTTTTTTAGACAGCAACTTCAAAACTGTTTGAAAAACTGCAGGATTAGGTAAATTGCAGTTTTTTTCCTTGTATTTTTTCAATTTCTTTTTCCACTTTCAAAAACAAAAAAAGACCAGAAGGAAAAAAAAATCTAATAGAGAAATATTTAGATACACAGGGCTTCCCCCACACTGGGATCATTTTGGAGTAAGCATTTCTATACTATTAATTCTCATGATGGCCAAACTCCCTTCCAGAATGGTTCTGATGCTGCCCTTGAGCTTTGTCCCTTCCCCTTTATTAATACAAAATCGATAAATTCTCCCCACAGAACTGCATCTCTACTAATTCTCTCCCCACTTTTAATTTTTGTACTACACGTAAGCTCATCCTTAATAGCTGCACCCCAAGCTTCCCTATATGAATCACTTAACCGGAAATTATATTTCCAGTTCCCGGCAATACTCAATCTTGTCATGGTTAACAAATTGGAAACCTGCCCTATACTCATGCTGGATCAGTCCTTGGATTACAGCTGTGCAGGCCAGAGATGGTCCTGCTCAAAGCAACACGGCTACTGCTTGTGCAATGGCTTAGTGAATATTCCTTTGCACAAATGGCAGAAAAGAAAAACTACCTTTGCAATGAACTGTTATATGAGGGAGGGGGCGGACAGGAAAAAATAAATGAGATTTTGGACTGGCTCCTAAGAAGTAGCTGTGTTAACCTGTCTTATGAGCGGCAACCACCCCTCTTTTTTTAAGAAGCAAAATACGGTGACGCTTTTAAAGATTAAGAGTTTTAGTTCGGTGTGAGCAGAAATGAGAGCTGGGAGTTCTGAATTTTGATCCCCAAATGCTTGTGCTGAAATAAAATTGTCATTTTTTAAAAATTGTACAATTATCTTGCTTTTCTTTGGCTCAGATTATGGGCTGTACCCAGAGACTCCTGTCTGTAGATTCTGAGTTCCTTACACTCGTCTGCTGCAGAACTGCCAGGCAACTGTGTTGCATTTGAGAACGCCTCCCATTCCCTATCGCCAAGGGCTTACATAAAGTTTCTCCTGATAAATCTCCATGAGCTTCGCCATGACATCCCTTGTTTGGCTTCGATACTGTTCGACACCCTTGGAAAGCGCTTCTGCCCCAGCCTGGCGCACAGCTTCCTCGTAGTGGATGACGTCTTTGATAAGGACCGAACAGATATCAGGCTGCAACTCCAAGCCCATCGACTCCCACAACCTGTAGCAAAGAAAGCTGGACTGTCATCCACTAGGCACCCAAAACAGGGCCGTCTCGTACCTGTCACAAATGCAAGGCGAGACCTTTTTTGAACCACTAAAACAAACAAACAAACAAAATCACACAATTGCAAGCTTTTGTGGGTATAATCTCACCTCTTCAGGCTATGCATCATTACCCATAAAAGGGTGGTGCACAGCCCGAGGAAGTGAGATTATACCCACAAAAGCTTGCAATCTGTGTGATTCCTTTTTTTTTTAGTGGTCCAATAAAGGCATCACCTAACTCTTGCAGTTGTGTCATCCTGAACCACATGGCTATTTCCTAATTCTTTCATATCTGTCAGCAACCCAAAGGAAATTTCACACATGGGGGATTTTTCGTACCAGAAGTCAGCCAAAGCGCTTATTTTATTGCTTTGAAGAGAACAGAAAAGCTGCAGAGTGCAATACTTGGCACTGTCACTTCACCTTACTCAGAATCTCAGATTTACTGCTACTGATGTACAGAAAGCAACTTTTCACCCATTATGGCTGCGAAGATCCACGCGGAATCATGTGGGCAATGTCAGAATAACATTTCCCTTGAAAGGGGCCTTCAGCACCTCTCTCTTTGGCTCCCTGTGATGCCCACAAGTTGGGAGACATGTACAGACAAATAATTAACGTATGATTGATTACAAAAATGGATACAGGCCAAAGAGTGCAAAGGTTCTCCATGAAGAATCTGATTTTCCCCTTCCCTCCTCACCACAAAGCCCATGCAAAGGACACTTTGCTGATCTGCCTTCTTCTATGGTCTGGTATCTCAACAGCCTGGCCTGGGGGGGGGGCACCTCCAACCTACCAACCCCCCCCCCCAAGGCATTCATGCCAGTGCTGATTCTGTATTGCTTCCATCAGCCCCTCAGGACCAGCAGCAATTAAAACTGGGAATTTGTACTGGGAGTCTGAAGTCCTAAGAGGAAATTATGTTCCCCCCCCCAAAAAAAAACACCACACACACAAAGACCACAGATATACCACTGCGTAGGGAGAGGCAGCCTGAAGGAGCAAACTCTTGTGATTGGAACAAAGTGACCCAGAAGAAGCCAAGCCATCTAAAAGAAGCCTCTATGAGCCTTCCTGGGCATTAAGATCATTGGGCGAGGCCTTTCTCTCGGTCCTGCCACCTACACAGGTGCGGGGGGGGGGGGGGGGTCCACAAGAGCCCCTTCTCTATGGCTGCTCCTTTAGACTCTGGAACTCCCTGCCACTGGAGGCCAGCCCGGACCCATCTTGGCTGTCCTTCCACAAGCAATCAAAGACCTTTCTCTTCAGGCAAGTTTTCCCTCAGGGACTGGTGATCTGAGAAGGTTTTTTTTAAAATAGATTGTGGCACTCTGTTGTTTCTAAATGTATTTTTAGTATTGATTTTATTTCCTGGTTTTATATAATAATGTTTAATTCTTTTAAAATATTTGTATACTACCTGTTTTTATAGTCACACGAAAAAAGGAAGTACAGCCTCTTTGAATTCTATGGTTTTACGTATCAGGCCATAGTAACAATCATCCGGTCCTTAGCAGGTTTGAAAATTAGGTAAATACAGCCTCAGATGAACAACAACACATGACATATTACACCCTGTCATTATTTATTTTCCAAAAAATAAAGCTAAAATGGAGAAGCCATGTGTGAAATTAAAAGGCTAAGTAGCAGCCAGGTGCTGCTTCTCAAATACCTTTGAGTAACTTGATCATCAGCAAGTGTGACCACCTCTATAAAAGCTGAAGTCTGAGCGGTTTCCTGGTCTGGAGCATTCAGGTGTGTGAATAACACAATGCCAAGGAGAAAACACATCAGCAGTGATCGTAGAGAAGCAATTGTTGCTGCCTATCAATCTGGGAAGGGTTCTACAAGCTACTGAATCACAAGGTGTACTCAATTTTTCACACATGACTTCTCCATTTTGGCCTTATTTTTGTGAAATAAATAATGGCAAGGTGTAATATAGCTTTTGTTGTGGCTCACCTGAGGTTGTATTTACCCAATTTTTAGACCCGCTAAGGACCAGATTATTTTTATGTCCCGACACATAAAACCATAGAATTCAAAGAGGGTGTACTTTCTTTTTCACATAACTGTAACTTTTAAATATTGTTTTTAATTGTTTTAAGGCAGCTTTGGCTCTTTTAAGGAGAAAGGCAGGATAAAAATATTTTAAATAAATAAATAAGGAATCATTTAACCTGTCTTCGGCTGCTGCTTGTCTATATCCTGTTTTGACATGCCTTTTCAATTTGAGACTTCAGAGATCTGAAATTTTAGTATGAATTAATCTGTGTCTATAGGTCTGAAATTTTATATATGTATTATTTGTGACTTGAACAATGTGCTGTGAGCTATCTTCGGATGTTTGATGAGGGCAGAAATCAAACCAAACTCTTAAAATCTAACCGTACATAGCTTGTTCTGAGCGAAAGGGAAAAGGACACAAGGACACAGGAAGAAAAATCTTTACCTCTCTGCCAACATCCGGATTTCTTCCTCCTTGTCAAACTTTACCACCCAGAGACGGCGTAAAAGGTTCAGTCCGTTCTTCTCATCGCTATCTGGAGTGGGCAGCACCATCTGCATTTCCATCAAGCCCTAAATGCCAAAAAACACAGGAAGTCACCACGAATTACTGCCACCCACCTACCCTACCCCCTCTCCAGAGCAGCAGGAATAAAAGGGAAAACAGGATATGCTAAAGCAATCTTTGCTGGTGCTTTTTCAGAGATGCAGTCAGGTTAGTGTGCTTCAGTATAGAAGAGGAAGAGGAAGGAAAGAAGGATGTCATTTGAAGATATTTAAGACTAACATTTAACATGAGCTTTTGTGATTCCAGATTCTCGGGCTACAATATTCAAGTCACAAGTTTACACAGACATAATTTTTTTATGTTCCTTATTCATTATAATCCCCTCCCCACAAGCTATAATGTTTTTATTCCACCTTTCTCCTGAAAAAAGACCAAAGGCAGCTTACGTGATTAAAAGCACGATGTTAAAAGGTACAAACAGCAAGTTATTTGGATGATAAAGAATTAATAACATTAAAATGTTAAGTAAAAGCATTACTGAAAACAGATATGGAAGCAACGAAATATAAACTATCCTGTTTATTGTTGCCTAGACAGTCGATCATTAAGGAAAACCCTGCATGAAGAGAAAGATCTTTGCCTGCTTGTGGAAGGACACAAAAATGGGCCAGCCTGGCCTCCAGTGGGAGGGAGTTCCACAGTCTGGGAGCACCAACAGAGAAGGTTTTCTCCTGTGTCCCCACCAAATGCACCTGTGAAGGTGCTGGGACAGAGAGAAAGGCTTCCTCTGATTATCTTAACATCCGAGCAGCCTCATAAATGGAGACACGGTCTGTGACATAGCTTGGACCCAAGCTGCATATAAATCAGTGGCTTAATGAATATTGCAATTCATTCATCTGAAAGAGTGTTGAGGGTTGTACATATATCTGTGTTAAAATAAGCACCGAGATGGAGATTCCTCCACCTCCAGACTGGAAATCTAAACAGCATAACCCAGTTCAGTTTCAGTAAGCATGTAGTAAGGGGAATAGGCCAGCTCCACTCTTTCTCTTCTGATGGGGATGATGATGCTGCATCCAGGTAGGTTTTCCTCCCTGAACCAGAAGCCCCGTTCTGGCTCACACCGAGAGGCCCCATGGATACAGACAGCCTTGGTGCTCAAGTGGAACTACCGGGTGGGGTGGGGAGCAGAATCCCCCGCTGTTGCTTGTGGTCTCTACGTGCCTGCCCACTGCCTGAACGGGTCTTTCGACTTCTGCAGGGAGATCCCCTCCCTCCTCCAAACAACAGAGTTTCCAACTCACCCGAAGAGCTGCATCTCGGACGTTCATGCACGGAGACTGAAGGGCCTGGAGTAAGACGTCAATCTCTTCCTGCTCCGCGTAGGCGCAGCCGTCTTCCCCGCTGCTGCTGGCGCACAAGGCCGTCAGGGCATTGGAAGCCAGAACCTGACCCAACGAGAGAGATGTCAACAGACCAAGTGAAGTTAACCCTGCTCCCAGACTGGCCTACTCGGAAGGTAAGGCCCAGAACCCCTGGACCAAGGACAGCTCAATGAATGGATCGTTAGATTCATGGGTAGTCATTATTTTGGAAGGTCTCACAGGGACTTTTCCCACCTCTGCTACCTAGAGATGCAAGATATTTAGTCTTATAATTCTGCAATTTAATTCCACCCAGTTGTATGAACTACCTGGCCGCCTACAGAATAGAAGTGACCCATCTCTGTTGTTTTACAGCGTCACTGTTCTCCCGTTGAGCAAACAGACAAAAAGAGGTGGAAGCGCCTCAAAACCATGCACTGAGAGGTGCAAATAATGGAATCAAGAAATATTAAACACTCAACACATTTTGCACAAAAGACTTCAATCTGAAATCCCCCTGAATGCTCCCCCCGGTAAACTCTTGCTCTTGGGGATGCATATGTTCTGTGCTGTCAAGTTGGAACCATCTTACAGCAACCCTAACAGGGCTTTCGAGGTAGCTATGCACAAAAGACTTCAATCTGAAATCCCCCAGAATGCTCCCCCCTGATAAACTCTTGCTCTTGGGGTTGCATATGTTCTGTGCTGTGAAGTTGGAACGAACATACAGCAACCCTAATGGGGCTTTCGAGGTAGTTGAGATATGTAAGGAGAGATTTTACCAGTTCCACTCCCCCAGTGACTTTCCAGGGCCAAGCAGGGATTTGAACCCTGTTCTATCAATCTCTAAAATATCTTAGGAAATCGATCGTTCAGATTAAAGTAACAATACAGTTCACATTACTTTGAAGTGTCTTCCACTGCTCTTTTCTCCCTGTCAGATTTCAATCAGGAAAAAAAATAGTTCAGGGCTAGGTGTTGGAAGAACCTCTGATAAATCTAAGGCTGCCATAGATAATGAAACACAAGTGCTCAGGTGTAGCCTTATGCATAAATACAGTCATGCCCTGCTTTACGATTGGCCCGCATTATGACGAATCCACTTCATGACGACGTTTTTAAAATCGCTTCTGCGATCGCAAAACGGTGGTCTAAATAGGGTTTTTTTGCTTTGCGATGATCGGTTCCCTGCTTCGGCAACCGATTCTTCGCAAAATGATTGGTTTTTTAACAGCTGGTCGGCAGTTTCAAAATGGCCACCGGGTAATTAAAATGGCTTCCCGCTGTGTTTAGGGACAGATTCCTCGCTACACAGGCACCGAAAATGGCTGCCGTATGGAGGATCTTCGCTGGATGATGAGTTTTTAGCCCATTGGAATGCATTGAACGGTTTTCAATGGGCTTTTTGTTTTCACTTTACGTTTTCGCTTAACAGCGATTTTCCTGGAATGGATTATCACCGTTAAGCGAGGCACCACTGTAGTTGCAAATCCCCTAATGAAAACAACCTTTAAATGCACAGAATGGTTGAACAAGGCTGAAAAGCTGTTCTCGAAGGGGGCCCTAGGCCGGTAGGAAAGACAGCCAGAGAGGCTGCCAGCTGGCTAGAGAGATTGACTCACAGCCTACCTGTAAGTGTGGAGAGGAGCCCGTTCCAATCACTTTCGTCAAGAGCTGTAACATGGCTGTGCGAGGTAGTAGCTCAGGGCCAGTCTGGAAGGGAGCCAGAAGAAGAAGGGGAAAAAAGGGTGAAGGGGGAAAGTACAAGGAGTGGACAGTAATACACAAGCACTGCTATCCGTAACTGGCCCCAGAGTAAAGAATCGTATAGTCAAAAACTATTGCCATTGAGGGATCTAGACTGCTCTGGACCAGGAGAGGAATCCTGTGTGCCACTGCAAGTCAGGATGAAACCATCAGACGTGCAAGACAAAACAGCGATCTAGGTTAATATTCCTCTAATAGGCTTGAATATTTATTAAAGGTGGGGGGGAACAACGTGTGTGGCTTATATTCTGCTCTATAATGCTTACAGGACAATCTGGGCAGTTTTACAATTATGCAAGCTACACACTGCAGCCCTCCCAGCAAGCTAGGTACTTGGAAGAACAGAAGGCTGAGTGAACCTTGAACCGCCCACCTGGGATTGAACCTGGGTTGTGAGCAGAGTTTTGGCTGCAGCACTGCGGTTTAACCACAGCACCACGAGGCTCATTCAAGAGCACCACTTGCATGCTATTGCCATGCTGTATCTAGGTTTGAAGCAGCACCAAAACCAAGTGACAGAGTAAAAAGAGAGAATAGGACTGTTTTATTTATTTCTGTGATGCCTTTTATCTTGTGAACTGCCTCCAAGAGAGAATAGGACTGTTTTATTTATTTCTATTTATTTCCGGGATGCCTTTTATCTTGTGAACTGCCTCCGGATGCAGTTCAACAAGAGAAAAAGGAAACAGGATTCAGCTCGATAATTCAATTAAAGTAGCAACGGCCAATAAAATCTCCAAAGGTTTCCTGAAGACCTGTAACGAAGGAAGCTCGTTACAGAAGAACCCAGCCCTTATACTCTCCAGTCCAGTTGCCCTTGGTGGTGGTGAAGAGAGAAGAGTCTCTACTGGTGAGAGTCTTTACTCTCCAACAGAGACTGGTACGACTGAAGACAGTCTGTTACAAGACAGTAGCTTGGGCCCAAACCATGAAGCTTAAAACTAGCCTTTTGTTGTGAATCAGGCTTAAAATTGGCGTCAGTGTTAACTATCCAGCACTCAATAATCCCTGGGTTAATATACTGTCGCCTGCAGAATTTAGAGCTTCTGCACCATCTTTAGGCAGCCCCACGTTGAAGGCATTACAGAAGTCTATCTTGGATGGATTTAATCTTGTCTTCCAGTGAGTATGTTTGGCTTTATCAAAAGAATGTCTCACTGATTCTAAGCAGGAGCAAGCTTTAAAAAAAAAGTTGTAGTAAAAGTGGCTTTTGGGGGAGAAGAGAAATACAGCTCTCACAGACCTCATCCACCAGCATATTGTGGCAACTGGAAAATGATCTCAACTGGGAATGGACTGTGATGATCTGAAGGACTTTGACCATGAGCTCCTCCTTCTCCTCACTGTCGTTGGGAATCTCAAGGAGCACCATTTTCAAGAGAGGAAAGACCAAGGAGAACGCTGGGGCTGATAACGGCACCGGCCCTGCAGAGGCGAAGAGGAAAAGAGAAGACAGACATGAATACAGGCGCAACCGCCCACGCTACCAACACACTCGCCGGATAAGCTTCGGGAAGCTGAACAACCCAGCTCTCTTACTGAACATAACATCCAACGCCTGGAGTATTGTACGCTTGAAGCAATGCAGCCCATCCTGACAGTCAGGGCTCTAATATTTTTGGAACAATTGTTATCTCTGTGTCTTTTTAATGAGCTCGTAACGGCAGGCATGGCTCTCTACCGCCCCTCTTTATCCTTCCAGCAGCCCTGCAAAGGGAGGCTCAAAAAGTAGGGCTGGCCCAAGGTTACTCAAGTGTGATTTTGCATGGCCTCATGGGGTTCTCCCGAATCCTGCTCCAGCGCTCTGCGCACTGTATGGCATAGGCTGCCCCCATCCCATTCCGACGATGCGTAACTAACACCAGATAGGGTTTTGCTAAGAAACACAGGACCCTCTGATGTTTCACCTGTAAGATGGTGTGCTAGCTAAGAATATTCTCGCTTGCATTACACCTCAGCTTACTAGCAAAAGGACAGAAAAGCCCTACCGCCAGGCTTCAGAACTAGAGGGAGCCCTCACCGGCCTCTCCTTTGCTCATCCGGCCAGGCACGGTGTACGTGTGCAACAGGCTCACGACTCTGCTCACGGCTGTAGGCAGGTCCTCTTGGCACCAGGATTCGTCCAAATCACATTCGGGTTTCATCATCCGCAGAGTCACATGACTGGCCACAGTACCTGGGGGGGGAGAGAGAGAAGATTTGGAGAAGGAATGAGCGAGTCGACCCAAGTTAGTTTGCAGAAATATAAATAATATTCGTATCACCTAGCTCACTGGCCCATGGGAACTCAGCACCCTTTATACAGAGCGGCCGTGGTTTTCCAGGACTTCAGACAAGACTGATTTCCTGTCCCATCGAGGGATTTGAATCCAAGACCTAAGCACACCCTTCGGTGACAAAAGCCAGCCTTGTTGTGAAGCACACCTTTCAGCCCTTGCTCAGATTAAAATACAGGAGGACCCCTGTATCCGTGTGATGGGTATTTGTGGTTTCACTTAGCCACAATCTTAAAATATTAAAAGAAAAAGTTCAGGGAAAAAAAAGGATTTCCCTTGTATTTACAACAACTGGCCGCTAGAGGAAGCCAGAGACCATAGCAAAGCCAGCCTTGTTGTGAAGCACACCTTTCAGCCCTTGCTCAGATTAAAATACAGGAGGACCCCTGTATCCGTGTGATGGGTATTTGTGGTTTCACTTAGCCACAATCTTAAAATATTAAAAGAAAAAGTTCAGGGAAAAAAAAGGATTTCCCTTGTATTTACAACAACTGGCCGCTAGAGGAAGCCAGAGACCATAGCGTTCACTATTGTATTTACCACAACTGGCCACTAGAGGAAGCCATAGACCATAGCATTCACTATTATCTGCTGTTTTCAGCATCCACTGGGGGGTCTTGGAACCAATCCCCTGCAGCTACAGGGGTTCTACTGTATGATGGTGATGATCAAGTCTATTCCAACTCAGGGGGTTCCTCCCAGGATTTTCTAGATATAAGGGACTCTGAGAGTTACAGAAGGAATCTAAGTTACAGCACGCTCCCTTTTACAAAGCACAGGCAAACAGTTCTCCACCCGGGGACCTTTTATTGGAGCAAAAGAACTGGGCACAATATTCCTTCATTTCTTCTTAACTAGTCTTACGTAGGGTTCTTATCACCATATTTCTCTTAGGTAACCAACTTTTGATATCTCTTGGATATAGTCATGGAGAAATTTAGTAACAAAAAAAACAACATTTAAAGCGAGCCACTCTAACTTACAGGCCAGAATCTGAAAGCTGACGTATATTTATAAATCGTGGTGACTAACTGCCACTCACAACCAAGGAGGTGGTTGTGTTCCTGGGTGTACCAAAAAAATTAAAATAAAAAAAAACATTAATTGGCAATAGGATTCTGGTTCTGGACTCTTCCTTCATCTAAAAATACGAATTTGAAGATGAATGCATTAGAGCTTAATTTAATTGGGGCTCTACTGTCTACAGGGGTTCTACTGTAAAATGGCCCCAGAGGGAGGCCACAACTGCGATACAAGGACATCTGCAAGCGGGATCTGAAGGCCTTAGGAATGGACCTCAACAGATGGGAAACCCTGACATCTGACCGTTCAGCCTGGAGGCAGGCGGTGCATCACGACCTCCCCCAATTTGAACAGACCCTTGTTCAGCAGGCCAAGGCAAAGAGGCAGTCCCGGAAGCAGCAAAATCAGGGAGCTGGACGGGGGACACATTGGATTTGTCTGGAAGAGACTGTCACTCTCGAATCGGCCTTCTCAGCCACACTAGATGCTGTTCCAAGACCTCCATACAGAGCATGATACCATAGCCTCTCGAGACTGAACGATGTCTAATCTAATCTAATCTAACTATCCGAAGTCAGACAAAGACAACATTAGAACAAAAAAACAGCAGCTGAGGCTTCTAAGGAAAGGCTAGGGAACCAGATGTTCAGGGCTACAATTCTCCAAATCCTCTACTATTGCAGATGTTAGTTGAGGCTTCTAGACGTTGAAAGTTCAGAGCATCTGAAGAGCCCGTTTTCCCTTTCAATGATGAAGACCCTTGAAATCTCTCTCTCTCTGTCTCTCTCTCGTGCACGTGCATACACAAATAAAAACAGACATGTAAAGTAGGTGAAACTGCATTGACAAACAGCAGTCATTTGTGCTTTTGGGGAGTCAGAACTAAGCTATCCACAAGTGGAATCTTTCAGCTTTCTCTATAAGGAGATTATTATCACTGTTTTAAATCCCCAATGAAAACACTAACCAAAAGTCTTCAGGCGAGGAGGCATCACGCAAGATGCCAGCGAGAGGAAAGGGTTCTTAATCCTTGGGGCCGCCAGGGGAGACTTCAGCAGAGGCAGGAAGGACCCCACGAGAGCAGGAATATACCGGGAGAAACCGCAGGGACTCTTCTTCAAAATAGCTTCCAGCAGACTCAGCATGGATTCCAGTTCATCGTCCAGCTGCAAAAAGAACAACACCGCGGCGGCTGACAAAACATCCTCTAACCAGACGCCACATTTCAAACCAGGCCATGAAAATAAATATTTTTTTCTCCCTCGGTCGTCTTCTTCATTGACTGTCTCAAAATAATAAAAATGGTAGTGGTGGAAAGTCATGTAGAGGAGGTGGGGGGAAATCTACTTTTGGGCAATACTTCTATAAGGACTAATCAAAATCTTTTTTTAAAAAAATCCCACGCATGCTTCTGATTTCTCCATAATTTTTCATTGTTGTAACTGGAGCAAGACAGCACTTCGTTGTTCTATGACCCCGAAAACAGAAGGGCAGTAACAAATGGTTATAAATGCTCCAACAACCAATGAAAACACAAAGCAACCATAATCATGTCTTTCTTTGTCAGGGAAGGCCTGTGAAAGGAAAAAAATTCATCTGGGTTTTAAACCTTGGCAGAGTCTCTGCCTCTCAACTCACAAGGGGAAAATCTATTCCCTAGGGTGGGTGCGACCACAGGGATGTTCCCATGGTATTCCACTGATTCCTGATGCACCAATAGGGCCCCCACTGAGGATCTCTGGGGGTCATCATTATGCGCAGATCAAGGAAAATGCTCCTAAGGCGTTTGGGGGTTTATAAAACTGCAACAGAACGCTGAAGAAGGAAGCGGCGTTGTCAACATCAGCCAGAAGTTTTTTCAACTAAAGCCTCACGTCCTCATGTACGCCTGCGCTCTGCTCAGCAGCTCCCTGGCTGTTAACCACCCTGGCCTCTAATTGTGCAGCCCTTCCTCCAGGATCCTGGAAGCTCTTGAGAATCAGGCGAGCAGGAGAGGATGGTGTCCGTTGGGTCCCATAAACAAGGGCAAACACCAGAGAGGAGAAACCCGTTTCTTATCCTCTCCAACAACCTAAGCATCAGCCCCAATGGGAGGGGGGAACCTGGATTTTTAAAACTAGACCTTAACTTAAAGGCATGGGCCAAGGTCCTACTATATTCTATGGGAGCCACAAAACAGAACCCAGGAAACTATTTTGAAGAGCATTTACCCTTAGAATGAAACAAATGTTGTCCCAGACCTAAAGGAAGCCCCAAAGTGCAGGGCTTTACTTAGAGGGAGAGTTGTATTAAGGTCAACATTTGTCTTACACCCTGACCCTAAGACCGGCCCTTCTCAATGGGAGCGGTAGGGCCCCCCTGGCAGATTCGAAGGAGGCCACCGACTGGAAGCAGTTCTTCACACGCCACTTTCTAAAGTTCAGCACGTGGCTTATATAATCCTGATTTGACCTATATTTCTTTTAAGGTTGTGTTCATGTCTGTGGCCAAAAAAGGATTGGGAAGGGCTGCCCCAGAGGTCCAGGCCTATGAGGAGGGGATACTACGGAGTGCACCTATGGGTAATGCCTGTTTAATGCAGAGCCACAGAACTTGGGAAGTGTCCCTCCCTCCCTCTCTCTCTCATCTCCCTTCCCAACCCACTCAGTTTGTTGTAACCATGAAGGGCCTGCTAGTACAGGGTACAATGTAATGGGGGCCCCCAAACTTGCCTCTTTCAGTTGCTTCCTGGTCTGAGATTCTTTTTCCAGCTGGGCATTTACCATCTCCTTCTGTTTGCTGGTCAGCTGGATTTCCTCCTTGATTCCCTTCTTCTTCTTAATCTCCTGCAGAAGACAAACACTCATCTCTTCATGTTTTTTTTCCTATTTTAACCACCCACCAAAGAAATCAAAAGCCTTCAAGAAGAAGACAAACACTCATCTCTTCATGTTTTTTTCTATTTTAACTACTCACTAAAGAAACTAGTAATCAAAAGCCTTCAAGAAGAAACAGATCCATCCATCCATCCATCCATCCATCCATCCATCCATCTCTCTCTCCACCCATCCACCCATCCACCCATCCATCCATCCAGTTTTACCCTGCCTTTCATCTTAAAAGGGCCAAAGGAGGCTTATATAATTAAAAAGAAAATATTTCTACGTCAGAAACAGTAAATACACAAATATTTAAAAAGGATTAAACAAGTATTATGTTAAAAATAAAATCAATACCAAAAACACATTTAAAAGCACCAGAGCACAAAAAAATCATAAAAAACCCTAAACAAACAAAAATACCTCCCATCCATCCAATCCATCCATCCATAGCCTGCCTGAAGAGAAAGGTCTTTACGTGCTTGGGGAAGGACAGCCAAGAGGGGGCCAGCCTGGGCTCCAGTGGGAGGGAGTTCCAGAGTCTAAAAGAGCAGCCACAGAGAAGGCCCTCTCCCATGTCCCGACCAAAGATGGCGGGATCGAGAGAAAGGCCTTCCAGGATGATCTTAATACCCAGGCTGGTTCATAGAGGGAGATGCATTCTTTTAGATAGCCATTTGATGGAAGCAAAAAACAGAAGTGGCTCAAAATTTATTGAGACATAAGTTCAAGGCAGCTGCCTCAAAACATATAGCTGGATGAAATCAAATTTTTAAAAATAATTAAAAGGCTGGAGGGTGCCGCTGCCTTCATGTCTTGCTCACAATCTGATGCGTTCTGAGGGCCACTTTTGAAAACAGACTAGAAGAGTCTCGGGCCTTCTCCAGTTCCCCCGGATTCCATTCTACCCACTTTGGATCAAACCAAACTACACGAGCGTCTCTTAGCCTGTCCTCTCACTGCGCTATTGTGAGGACAAATTGGTGGACTAGGAAGCAATTTATGCAGCCGTGCGGTCCCTAGGAGAAAGGGGGAGCGACTCAAGTGTTGGACAGACCCCCAGGGAGATTTGTGTTCGAGATCCCCCTTGGATAAGGTGGACCCGTCAAAACCTCTCAGCTTGAATCTAGCCACAGGGCCATGGTAAGGGAGAAGGAAAGCCCGGGATTCAGTCTTGAACTTGCCACAACACGGGCAGCCTAAAAATTTAACCAATAAACACAACAGCTTTGCTGGAACCTTTTTCTCCCAACTACTTTTTGTAGCTGCCTTTTAAGAATGGTACTGGCTGAATAAGCTAAAGGGGTTTCGGCATTTCGCTGTGGAGCCAGAGGGTGAGAGTTGGATCCCCCCCCCCGGGAGAAAAGCCAGCCTGTATGGCCTTGAGCAAGCTGCAGAAGCCCAGGGATCCCACCCAGAAGAAGGGAAGGGCAAAATGCTTCTATGACTGCTTCTATGTATTCCCTACCTAGAAACCTCTGAAAAGGGTGGACATAGATCAGAATTGACTTGATGGCACATTATTATTCTTTTATTTTATTGGTTTTTTATATATAAAATTGATTTTATTGTACAGCAGGAAGGACCGGGGAAGAAAGACTGGCCCTGTTTAGCCTTGAGAAAAGAAGACCGAGGGGAGAAAGGACAACACTCTTCAAAGACTTGAAAAGCTGTCCTACAGAGGAGGGGCAGGATCACTTCTCGATCATCCCAGAATGCAGAACACATAACAATGGGAACAAGCTACAGGAAATCAGATTTCATGTGAATATCAGGGGGAAACAATCTTAACTGTTAGAGCAGTTTGACAGTGGGACCCATGACCTTGAGAGGTACAGAGCGCTCCAACGCTAGAAGCATTCAAGAGGAAATTTGAGAACCATCTGTAAGATCCTCTTTGATTTGGATTCTTGCAATGAGCAGGCGGTTGGACTCAATGGGCCTTCCAACTCAATTATTCCGTGATTCTACGAAGTGATTGAAATCTAGCAATCATTTCAGGACTGGGCTGAGGACGATGCCGCAGAATGATTACACTGCAGCTCAGAATATATCTTGGATGGAAGCACCACTCTAAAATGTCCCTTCAATGATGTGGATCAACGCACTCATCCGGACAATGCCTCCTGTCTCTCTCAGCACGGGCGACCTCACCTCCTTCAGCTCCAGCTCGATAATCTGCTCTTTGAAAGAATAAGCCTTGTTTTCCCTCTTCATGTTGGCCTTTTTCATGTTATCCTGCTGAGCACTAAAAAGAAAGAGGCAAGAGACATCAGTTAAGATCGCCCATGGCTGTCTCCACATCTCCCTCAATAAATATCTAATATTTTGAAATACAAATAAGGAGCCGGTACTAGAACCAAGGGGGACGTGGGTGGCACTGCAGGTTAACCGCAGAAGCCTCTGTGCTGCAAGGTCAGAAGACCAGCCATCGTAAGATCGAATCCACGCAATGGAGTGAGCTCCCGTCACTCGTCCCAGCTCCTGCCAACCAAGCCATTCGAAAGCATGTAAAAATGCGAGTAGATAAATAGGGACCACCATGGTGGGAAGGTCACAGCATTCCATGTCTAGTCGCGCTGGCCATGTGACCATGGAAATGGACAAACGCTGGCTCTACGGCTTGGAGATGGGGATGAGCACTGGCACCCTAGAGTCAGACACGACTGGACTCAATGTCAAGGGGAACCTTTACATTACTAAAACCAAGAACACCAGAGTAATCAAAACCGACTCCTGCAAATGTTCCGAATGACAGTCCTCATCAGCCCTAACCAACACAACTAATATGTAGTCCCGAACATCTGGAGAGTGCCATGTTGCTGTTCCATGTTCTAAGATTGAACTAGTAAACATGGCCTTGTTGTCTTGCTGCTGAAAACACCGAGCGCCCAGTCCTTACCTCTGCAAGATAGATTTGTCATAGAGCTCCCCTTCGGGCGTCTTCATGATAGCAAACTCCTCTTGGGTCACAAGACACAGAGCCGGGTTTTCCAGAGAGCCCAAAATGGTGCTGATTACCTGGGGAAGGACTCGGCTGGGGGAGAGGACAGAAAGCATACCCACTGCATTCAGGGAGGACTGCAAAAAGGAGGAGAGGAGAGGAGAAAGGTGAGGAAAGAGAAGCCACAGCTAAGGATCTCAGCTCTGCTCCAGAGTCTGTCAATAGACTCAAGGCGCTGGGCCTTCAATTTGGGAGAAGGAGCAGCTGCTGCATTAAGTCTGTGTTAATGCTGTACACATTTGCAGGGTGATAGCTTGGTCTGCAGATTAAAAATTCCAGAATACAAATTTTGCATGTTTATTAATACAGACACTTTACATATATAGTAGGACCCCCATATTCACAGGGGATTGGATCCAAGCCTCCCCCCCCCCACATCGTGGATGCTGAAAACCATGGATAGTAACAAACACTATGCATAGCATGGTAAAAGAAAGCAAAATCCAGAAATATATATTTTCACCATGTATTAAAGGAGTTGGCCACTAAAGGCAGCCAGAGACTCTGCTAGGTATTGTGCAACAACAGGAATACATAGCATGGTCTCTGACTGCCTCTAGTGGCCTGGTAAATAAACCCTGAAAATACATGTTTCTAGGTTTTTTCTTCTTTTACTATTTTCAGACTGCAGATAAGTGAACCTGCTGATACAGATCCCGCAGATACAGGATCCTGCCATATTTATTCCTGTTTTGCTATTCATTGGAGGGAGGGGCTACATTTTTCCCCCGACGTAACTCCAACTACTACAGGCCTCTGTGGTTTCTGAAATCTCACCTGGCTTTGCTCACATGCTTGGAATCACATCTCTGTGGACAAAAGGGCTAGAAACCCTGTGCATGGAGATACAGAAGTGAGGGAGCTGGTATTCTCAAAAGCGGAAATACACCCGTAATTTCCCTTCACAATCTATGCTTTTCCTGCACTCTCACAGAACTGTGGAAAACAGACATCCTGGTATTCACTATGAATTCAACCAGTTTTGTACTTAGTACCTGTATACTGGCATGCCAAGTCCAACTTACAGTGATCCTCCCATGAAACTTCTGAAAAAACACAACCTACAAACAGTATTCAGGCCCACCACAAAAATACAACAAAGGTTACGGTCAGCAAAGGACAAAAGGGACCCCACTCACCACTGCAGGAGTATACCGGATACCTTGCAGTTGTGGACAGGTATATATTAGAAGCACAAAACACAGCATTCACACCAGAATCAAAGAACATGAGAGACACTGCAGACTAAAACAACCAGAAAAATCAGCAGTAGCTGAACATGCCCTGAAACAAGCTGGACATGAAATTCTATTTCAAAACCCAGAAGTACTGGACAACACCAGCAATCATTATGTTAGACTGCACAGGGAAACCATTGAAATCCACAAACACCAGCAGAGCTTCAACAAGAAAGAAGAAAGTCTAAAACTCAACAAAGCCTGGCTCCCAGCACTGAAAAATACAGCCTGTAGAAGGTTAACAAACTCTACATGGCCATAAGGACCGGTGATCACTGTAGCCTGGCTCCCGGCACTGAAAAATACAGCCTGCAGAAGGTTAACAAACTCTACATGGCCACAAGGACCGGTGATCACTGCAGACAAAAGACTAGCTAATGACACCCAGCAATCACAGTGACGGACCATCTCCCCGCCTTATCACAACAATACATGCAAAACAAAAAACACCCTGATCACCATATTCACCCAATTTCCTGAAAAGGACAAAAAGTTGATCCCACCACTACAAATATTCAACT